CGCCTCCGTAACAGTCGTGATTTCACATCAACTTTCTAAAAAATTTCCACCATGTGACTTTATCCTCGTGAACATCTACTAGGATGGCTGTCACGGCAGAATTGCCAGTTGTTGCAGTAAGCCGAAATGGCGCCAAAAGCCGCTCTTTTCCTGCCTTACTCGAGCTGCAACAGGTCTGTGTGAACGGTGTCAACAACTGTCGTGAGTGTGTATGGCACGCGTAGACGGAACCCGTGAGTGTTTGTGGCACACATAGACGTAACCCATGCGTGCGAGTGTGGCACGCGTAGACGGAACCCTTTGCATCACGCTAGGCACTGGTCGCATCAAGATTACCGGTCAGCAGAGCTTCTCGGATAGTACATTGCTGCGTGCGAGAAGGGTTGGAGACTGAGGCTAATCCTTTTGCACGTTTTGATATACAGATACCACTGGAAGAATAATATTACAAAAAAAAGCAAGGGAGACCGCTGCCAGCGGGGTACAACCAGGCAGGACGAGTATCCCCTGCATTGTGACCGGTGAGCCACCCTCAGCCATAGATATTACACTTTTAACAATAAAAGTGTTATTTCCGGCTGAACAGGTTTGAAATTCTCCACGTCCCTTCTCCAGTGAAATCTTGTCAGACCTACATGCGATTATTCCCCTCTTCCAAAAGCTGCCCCCATCCTCTGTCCGTGTGTCTGTCGCAACCTTTTGCCCAAAAATGCTGGCCGCCCTCCCCCCTGACCATTTCCGCTCGAATGCCCATGTGTGTTCAAAAGGAGGCCCCCTTTCGCCGGCCGACGCATTCCGAGAGCCACTTGAACACTCCTCGCCACTGATTTATTATACTGCCTCTGTAGACGAAACCTGTCCCCTTCGCGCTGGTGTTTCAGATCAATCGGATGCCACATGAACTGGCTCCTGGGTACCAGGTCGTGTGTGGCACGCGCAAGCGGTCTGTCAATCAATGTGTCTGCACCCACTTACGTTCGTCTTTACATGAGAGAAGGGGCGAGTACGTCAGATGCGACAAAAGTCTTCCTCACTATCAAGGAATTCCCACACAAGTCACCGGTGCGACGACCGACCTGCCGTGGGACATGTCGTGGAGATCTCCGCTTTCTACGGATGAGGCACTGAATACCAGACATGTTTCAATCATAACAGAGAGCAACCATTGAGGCGCCTGCAACGCCCCAGCACTACAACACCTTGAAGCAACTACATGCTGCTGGACGCGAACTACATCACATGAAAGGATACAACAGAGAGAGAGGGTGGGGGACTTACCTCTACAGCAAAGTGTTTCGCACTGGCGGGTTCAAAGGTCATGGCCAGGGTGAGGACAGCAATGACCGCCTTGACCAGCAGGAGCAATTGGCGTTTGGACTCGCTGGTAAGTAACTGTGGGGAGATCGGGTCAGTGATTGGGGTGGAATTATCCGCGGCAGTGAGGTTCTGGGGCGCAAAGTGGCCGGTCAAACGCACCACCTCCTGTATGACACGCACGAATCCGTTGCACTTCCGAAAGAGTAGTCGACAGCGGTGAGATTCTCGCAGCACATGACAGAGTAGACGCATGACCTGTGGGACGGAAGGAAGAAGCGGGTGATTCATGAAAAAGTAAGAGGGAAAAGTAACAATGCCCTGGCCTAGGTGGGACCTTCATCCTCGAGTAATGACCATTTTTTGCGTCAGATCAGGTCAGGTTTACTAAGAGAAATATACGTAAATGCCGTTGAACTCCCTATTTGCACAGAGAAGCCATAAAACGCATTGGTTCAGCAGAACATTTTAAAAGAGTGTTGATGCTAGTAAATCGAACCGAGTAAAGAGCGTAGACAGAAAAAAACTCCTTGGGCATTGTTTGGAAATTCTAGAAGTTTGAATGCCATTTGAGTCATTTTAAGAAGGGAAACCGGCGCCTGTAGGGGAAAGTATATGTGCGATAGGATAGCCTGCTGTTGAGCGTGTTTGAAGTCTATCAGGAGGAGCCCATTGTGGTTTTTATCAACGTCGTAAGGATTGCATGAGGAGAAGATCGTAGTAGTCACGAGAACATCATCGAAATGTCGGAGATACGCCCAGCACATGGGAGAAGGGGCTGAATATCGAGTCTGCCGACTAGGTGACTAAAACAGAGGGA